ATATTATATCTTAAAAATATCCAGAGCTGGGAAAAGGAAATGACAGACAAATATTTGTGTTTTTACAAAGTCATATTCTGTTAATGCATAATTTAAATATTTAAAGCCTCTTTCATTTAATTCTTGACTGAATCAAGAAGACTTCATAAAAAGTAACCAACAATACCTATACAACTGTATTTTTATAGATAATAATGGAATGAATAAGTTAATGAATCTGACTAACAATTTCATGTAAATTCTCATTTCATATTTTTTCTGTAAGGCATAAAATTCAAATGTGATGTGTATAATTCTAAAATACCTTGTGTATTCTATTTTAGTAACAATCTATTAAAAAGATGGCAACATCTAGTTTCTACTTTTTATATCATCAAAAAAATTCTGAATAAATCACATGGAATTTAGTAATTAAAACAGCTTCACCTCTGATGGTATAATTATACCAAGTGAAATGAGTCTTCAGGTAAGGTTCAGATGATCGTTCAGATTGCACTTTGGTCTATCTTTCACACCACCTTTTTCAGAACCATAATGAGACACGCATTAAGCAATGAAATGAATTAAGAAAATATAGAGGAATAACTCAGTAGAGGATGTAAGGCTCATAATAGTTGAAATAAAGCAGATGAAGTGCATTTCTTGGCTCTTCAGGAAGACACAATATTACAATTGCTTTGGTTGGACCAACTTCTTTCATTTCCTCTACAGGCTGCCCATATATGAGAAGACAGCTGCTTGAGGCACCGTACTGGATGCCTAAATGAGATCTGAAACTTGCACGTGCATCAGAACTACCTAGCCAACTTGTTAAAAAAAAAAAAAAAAAAAGACATATTGCTTGTTCCCACCCTAAAATATTTTCATTCAGTAGGTTTGGGCCTGAGAATTTACATTTCTAACATGTTCCCAAATTGGCCTAAGGATCCACTGGCTTAGAAGAAATATAATAGTTTAAAAATAAAAGTAAACTTTTTTACATCAATAGTGTGCATTTTAACTCTACTTTCTTAATGTGAATACAAACAGCTCTGAAATAACAACTTAGTACAAGATTATTCCATAAGAGCTGAGTTGTTGCTTTTGAATTAGAATATATGCATAATGTTATTTTATACCGTTAGCAACCGTTATGCTAAATGTGGACTTGGTAATGGAAGAGGCACTGCACAACTCTCAATAGGATTGTGTTCTGTGGAGTCGGTTCCGACTCATAGCGACTCAGTGTACCGGTTCCGAGGCTGTAAATTCTTTCTGAGCTCACCTCTCTGCCTTGAATTTATCTTTGAGGTTTTCCTTAACTTAAGATCCATCTAAGAACTGTTGTTTTACGTGGGGCATCATTCCCATAAACTTGTAAAGCTTCAATGGTTTGGGATGATGTCCATTTGAGTTTTGTTAAAAATTTGGTGTTAGTTTCTTTCTATGGCATAACAAGTACCATTTTTGAAGGCACTTGAATGAGACTAGGCCAAGTTTATTACTGAGTACTTGTCTGCAGCCATTCACTGATTGCAGAGACATATTTAAACATATTTTATTAGAATAAAACCATGCATAGATGAACTGGAACCCTACTCTAAAAACCAAACCAACTGCCATCAAGTCGATTCCGACTCATAGCCACGCTCTATATGCTTTGCAAAGCAGCAAATCTTTAGAGAAGCAGAAAGCTTCATCTTTCTCCCGCAGAACAGACAGTGGGTTTGAATTACTGACCTTGCAGTTAGCAGTGCTGTACTCATCCTACAGTGCCACTGGGGTTCTGGAAGCCTAGTTGTTGTTTTTGTTAGATGCTGTTGAATTGGTTCCAACTCATAGTGACCTTATGCACAACAGCAACAAACACTGCCCAGTCCTGTGCCATCCTCACAATTGTAAGCTTGAAGCCTACTTGCTGTTGCTGTTGTTGAGTGCCATCGAACCCTAGTTGCAATAGCTCTCTATTAGCTTCATATATGTTAGCTACAATTACTATATATCACACACACACACATATATATATATACATAAAATTTGCTTTGTAATTTCAAAGTGTAGAATCATCTGGCTAGCTTGTTTAACATGCAGATTTCTGAGTCTATCACAAATATTTTTCAACAGGATCTGTGGATATAGGACCCAGGAATCAGTTTTCATGAAAAACCCTGATGATTCTCACACACTGTACAAAACCACATAGTGCATTGAGAGTAACAGTGGGGTAGGGATAGGAAGCACTTGAGCATGGGTAAAATGACCAAACGCTATATAGGAGTGGAGAACGCAGGGTAATGACCAGAGGCTGACATCTCCCAAACTTTCTAGATGAGAAGAATCATCTGGAACACAGACACCTGTGATTCAGTAGATAGATGTCCTTTTAGCAAAGGCTCCACCTGAGTCTTACCAAGAAGTTTGGTAAACACTGCCCTTGATGTTTCCATGGATTTCTAGCACTCTCAATTTTGTTTTAAATTCTAAGTGGGGCAAGAGGGCTTATGCTCTAGGAAAGAGTTCAAGAACCAAGTAAATCTGTTTGTGTTAAAGCACGCAGTGAGCACTACAAACAATGGGTCACAAAAGAAGATGTGGTCCTATTATCTGCCCATAAGAAATGTGCTATGCAATGAACTGTAAAATCCATATTTTATTACCTGGAATTGCTTAAAAATTTTACAATGTGAAGTAAGCCATAGACTTCAAAGTCGGTCTAGAGTAGTGGTTGTCAGAGTGTGGTCTCTAAACCCATGGCATCAGCATCAAGTTGTCAGAACTGCTAAGTGGCTAGACTTCCTGTATCAGAAGCTCAGAAGGTAGGGGAACCTGTACTTTTGTACTTTAACAAGCTCTCTAGATGACATAAACACTTGCTCAGGCTTGGGAGTTAGAAAGAAGCAACATATTCAGCTGTTTTTCTGACAGTCATACTTGACTGAATACTGCCAGTACTTTGTTTCCCTCCCAGTTTACTCATCTCTCCTCTCACCATCCACAGCCAATTAAGCAGATGCACAAAAATAACCTACACATCTCAAAAAGAACATCAAACTTTATTAAGAACATCTTATACTGTCACCAGACACAGCCAAAGAAAAAGGGGGAAACAAACAGGGCAATTTCTTCATCCCATGTGCTCCTGCCACTTCAGTGCACACTCGTGTAATTACACTTGGCAACAAGTGCTCTCTGTGAATCAGTTCAGTCACAAACTGTCCCCTTTCTATACAGACAAGAACTGGGTTTATACCTTTTAAAAGCTTTGATATTAGTGCAACAATTATGAAACAAGACTACATTTTTAGGAGCTATTTCTTAATAGAATACAAAGCAGTTTTATGTTATTTCATTTGATGCTAAATTTTTAGAAAGGAAAATTCATGAACATTTTAATCTTCCCAATTAATTCATCTGTACTTCCAACCATTTTCTCTCTAAAGATGTCACAGAATCAGTGCACTAACAATACTTTAATAGGTGAAATGCTCACCTACAAGGACAACTGACAGCCTAGTTTTTTTCCTATTAATTTTGCAAATCAGTATGATCAGGCCAGTCCAGCTTTGGCTGATTCTGAAGGATTTCTTATAAAAAACACCTGATACAGAGTGCATGTGCGAAGCAGTACCCAAACAGCTGCAGTTAAGAGTAGTTTTCCTAGAGGGAGACGCTGGCTAGAGCACAGCGAATTTTCTCAGACTCTGGGGCTTCCCATTGTGTTTCATCTACTTACTGTAGTGATGGAAGGAGCAGAGGGAGTGCCAAGGAAATGCTCACAGGGCCACTCTCAAAAGCCAGAGGGCTCTAGGGTTTACGCGCGAAAAGAGTGGTGGTATCCATTCAAACCACAGTACCCTTGATGGAAGTTTGGTAACATGCTTTTCTCTTAAAGGGCCAGGCCAAACTGCACCACTCAAAGATGCATGATTTCTTTCAGGTACATAGGAGAGAAAATGCTCATGATTTAATCCTATTGCATGAGAAAAACGTAGTCTTCCTTTTATAAAGGAAGATTATTTTACTGCTAAGGCTCACCATGTTAACGATCATAAGGCTGAAACAAGACTTTTAAACTAAACCACATTGCTTGTGTTACAGTTAGAGAGTTAACTCACAACTGAGGTCTGTGGAATATTGATAAGGGGTGGGATTAAGGGTGGGTTTCAGGTATTTGAGTACTACCACTTATCACAAAACCCATTAAGCTCTTTAAAAAAATAATACATTTTTATCATAAATATTTAGAGCAGATACTGGCATTAAAAGCAGTATCTAAGTCAGAGGTCTGTCTTATAGTGAAAATATATCAACAAATTCCTAACAGATTTCCTATCTCCCCAGGAGCATATAGCTTACAAATTGCTTTTCAAAGGGAAAAAAAAAAAGTATTTTGCATGGGTAAGTCACCACTTTAGCAGATCATAAATAAGTTGACATACTAACAGATTTTGCTTTCACATTAACAACAAAAGATTAGCTTACTTGGTATACGTTTATAATAGGCTATAAATGTTTTATAACTGTGCATTTGTTACCCTCCCATGCTGAATGGTTTTCTTGTTTCCTCTGCCTAGGGACAGAAGAACATAGTACAGGCAGACCCAACTGGAAATACCCTAATATATGAATCTGGCTGCTACATACCATCTCCTTAATTAGGTGACATTACAAATGCTGGAAAGGATCTACCCTGAGTAATCTGTCAACCACATTGCAAGCCAAGTACATTCTTGGTGAAGTGGATTCAGTTCCCAGGTGCGCTTTCTGTGGTAGTGTCCACAGTCAACCTACTATTGTTTCAGTGAGAAAACGTGTCCAAGTCTCAAAAGCTTATTAATAAAAATCTTTAGAACATAGCCTATATCTATAGACTGCTGCTATGTGTCACTGTTTTGGGGAGAGGCCACATTTTTAATAGCAACGTTTTGCTTCTCCTTCATATGTAAATTCATTTTAAGGACATCCTCTAATACTGAGAACGAAATAGAATGAAGCCATTCAGACTAGTGAGACATAATTGGTTGTGGGATTGAAAAGGAGTTTTATTGACTATCCTAACTTGAATCTGCTGACAACACAAATGAAAATGTGTAATATGTAAAGTTGTAACTGAAAAGACTATGCTGAATCATTATCAGATATAAACCCACAGCTTAACAGTGTGTCTTAAAAAGTAAGCATGAGAGCATGCAAGTGTCTAACATACAGGGTTAAAAATAAGGGTAGAAGTACATTTGTTTTGGTAATTCTGACTATACAAATATAAAGTTTACCAGAGCTGTTCTGTAGTGCAGCACTGCTTAATTCCCACATTTATAGTCATTCAAAAACCTTGTGGAAACATTCAAAATGTCCCAGGCTCCTTTACTGAATGCTACTGTGTTCTTGAGCTAGCACAGCTAAAAATACTATTGTTTTTAAGCTATGTGGCTAAAGGAATAATAAAAAGATCATTATTTTTTGTTTCTTTTAACCCCACAGATGGCTTTATGTTAAAAGAATTGATTATGTTAAAAGGAGGCTGATGTGACAAATAGGTATCAGTTCCAAAATCAAAGGTGTCCTTTGGTAGGGTGTCAAAACTTACTACATTTCCAAAGCATTTTCATATTAATGCTACTCAAATAATTCTAAATAGTTCAATCAAAAGCGTCCCCATGTAACACTCTAATTTTTCTACACTAGTGGTCGCAATGGCATCCCTATTGTAGAAAAGCTTCTCTTGGTTTTGATCTGACCCTCAAAGTGACATCCATGTTTAATTTTCAGTTAGTGACCTCTAGAGATGAAAGAATAAAAGGCATTGAGAGGCACCTAACTGTTATTTTGGTTAAGGAGAAGGGTGAAGTTTATGTTAGAACATTTACTCCCTTCTAGAATCAAGTCTTTACTATACCATAATAAAATCTCAACCAGTTCCTGATTAATTTTTCTACTGTAGAAATTAGATAGTATACAGTGATTAGATACTGAAGAAATTAAAGAAAAACATTTGAAAATACATGAAGAAATAGAAATAAGGAATTTCTCACAAGGCCCTGGATCAAAAAAATTTACAAAAAGAGCTTCTGAAAATAATCACTATTTAGAGCATATTAATACACAGAGATCATCATGTTGTTTAAACTAAGTTATGTTACTTTACCAATAAAATAGTAAACAAACCAATATCTTAAACAATTTTATAAATTACTCATTTCTTTTGTTAGTGTCACCCTCTTAACAATATACAAAAATAATGCTACAGGACTAGCCACCTAACCTGTCTCCATTTCTTGCAAAGTCCTGGAGCTCTGAGAAGAGACTAGTTATCAATCTTCACTGTAGATGTCTCCTGCAAAAGGCAGATGCATGTGGCTTCCAGTGACATTGGGCAATCGAGATAAGTCTGGCAGGCTCTGAATCCGGGACCTGAGTTCTTTGCGCACCAGGGAAACTCTAGCTAACTTGCGCTTGTATTCCTGTAACAGTAAAACACTTTCATTAGCATTCTAGGGTTCAGAGAAGAACTATCTAGCTAACATTCTGCATAAGATCTGGTACTGCACTCAGTAGTGAGTTTTTTTTAATAAAAGATTATTACAATGACTTTTAGGATAAAAGAGGGGCTTTTGAAATACATAACTAGGCAGACTTATTATTAAAAAACTACAATCTTTAGCTGTTGTTTCTCACCTATAGAAACACTAACATATTAATATACTTTATACAGCATATAAGCATTTTAGGGATCATTTTGGATAAGAAAAACTGCATTTATTTTTCACAAACCTAAACTGAAATGCAGTATCCTTTTCTATTGTGAATGGTGGCAACAAACTATAGGAGTATTATCAACTGACTTTTGTCTCCAATGGAAGCCAGTGGTTCTTATACTTTATTACAGTTTCTGCAACTATCTTAAGGTATTTTGCTTATGTTTATCACTACTTTGAAACTATGGCACTTGTAAGACACATCATCAAATGTTATGTAATATGTTTGAAAAGAAACATTTTGTTATTTTGATCATTGTACTTCAGCATAACTTGTCTCCTTTGCAGTGCTATGCATTTATTTTAGGCATTTAAAAATAGGATTCTGAGGGACCCACAGCTTCATCAGACTACCAAAGGACTCCAGTGGCACACAAAAAGACTAAAAACCCTGTGAATGGTAGCCTAAAGAGTCAGAAGCTTGAAGCCAATCAAGATCGTGTTTGGTTTAGAGGAACACAGCCTATTCTCTATAGTAGGGATATCTGGGACACACCTTTCAACTGAGAGTCCCAGACTTCTATATGGTGGTGGTGGATTGAGTAGAAGAATCTAGAAAATGGGACTACTCTCAAAAAGCCTCTCAGCATCAGTGTTTCTATATCGTGACTACACATCAGAATCACCTAGGAAATTACAGAGAATTCTAATGTCCAGCAGGCCTCACAACCCATCAATTAAATGAGAATCTCTGGAAGTAGGCCCAGAACACTGAATTTTGCAAAAACTGCTAAGGTGAAACTAATTCACTGAGATGTCAACCATTTCTCAACTTTTTTCTCCCTAAAATGAAATCAACCAATCAGGTGCACTTGTACTGATTGTTTACTGATTGTTTACACTCCCAGTTTCTTTTTACAACTGGGAGTGTAAGGGGTTTGACAGAATTAGTATAACTCAAGTGCTCTAAGAAAATGAGGGAACTGAAAGGGTTCTGAAGTACAGGAGTCTGGGCTACTGGCAGACATAGCGGCAAACTGAACAGCAGTCCTGGGCACATTATAGCGATATTAACTCTTGTTATGTCCACATGTCCCTGCATTTCTAATCTATCATGAAAGTCGGTAGAGAAAAATAAAAAGTTTTAATAGGGCTCTTAACTTAAGGCATGACTTTCCTGTTCCCTTCTCCCCTTTACCAGAGACACACGAGGTAGGTTTCGACATGGTCAGCTCAGAGGAGCATACAAAAATATAAGCACCAAGCTATTTCACATTCTAGTTGCATATGATTTAGGAGGGCCTCTTATACCTCCTCCTATGAAGAAGAATCAACTCAGTGGCAGTGGGTTTGTCTTCTTTCTCAGAACATGCATGGTGGCAAACACATATATTTCCATCTGCATCACACCAGCAAGTCCACTGTTCTTAGCTGAATGATAACATTTCCGAAACTCTGAGGTTAGAAAAATATATTGTTGCTGTCTAAACGTGCTCAAAGACAATTTACCTTCTGCTCCTTTTAGGACTATATGGTTTGAGAAATGCCTTAAGTGTCTTATGTGGCCAATGCTGTCCACTCTAATGTCTAGACTCCAGAATTTCACACGAGTCCTGCTGTGGCACTGCAGGATAAGCACCGAAACTGCTAGCTGCTCTTCAGAAACCCTATCCATGGTCACTCTGAGTTGAAACTAACTTGACAGCACTAATAACAAAAGCATCTCAGAAGACAGTCCTGGCAATCTGTTTCTGAAAAATCACAGCTTGAAAAGCCTATGGATCAGTTCTGCTCTGCACATACGGTGTTGCCCAGAGTTAGAATCAACACAATGGCACCTAACAAGCAGCAGCATGGGATAGGATGGTCTTCAGTTATTAAGACTTATCTCAGTACTTTCATTTAAATTACACATGACAACCAGAAGCCTTCATCCAACAAGGATACACTACAAACTAAATGTAAAAATAAAAGCTGCCAGGAATGTCAATTATATGACAAGCATTTTAATATGAACTCATCTAATCTTAAACATAAAACTATTAACACCAAAACTCTAAAATTTTAGCCACTGCCACTGAGGCAATTACAACTCAGAGACCCTAAAGGACAGAGTAGAATTGCCCCCCATGATAGAAGGTAGCTTCCAAAAGTCTGAGAGAAAATTCCATTATCTTTCAGTTACATTTTCCATGAAATTTTTGATTCCCTCTCATATGAACAAGTCACTTAAGCCTTAAGTGTGTTTGTCTGTTTAGAAAGGGGTCTTGGTGGCACAGTAGTTAAGCAAGCAGCTGCTAATTGGCCTGTTCTTGATTTACTGATTTATGACCCTTTACTTGCCAGAGGACCTCCTGATATGACAATGGTAGCACTTGACTGCTAATCACAAGGTTAATGGTTCAAACTCATCATTCGCTCCTCAGAAACCCTATAGAGGATCATTCTGCATCAGAACTGACTCCACGACACTTAGCAACAACTTGCCAGGGAAGCCACCACCACCCTGAGGTTTGCATCACCTCAGCCTCTGGCAACCCCAAGTCACACCAGTTTTTTCAGTGCCAGCTTCATTACCAAGCTCCATCCACTCCTCAGAATGGTGCCATGTGCTACAAGGTGAATGTTCACTTTGTCTAGGAAAGACTTGTCTAGTCTCCACACAATCCTTGCTCCTCTCTAGGTTCTCAGCAGAATCTCTCTCTGCAAGGTTTTATTTTTCCTACTGATTTGTACATGAGTCGTATCTTTCCAAGGGCAGGAGCCTTCTTTATACCACCATATGAGGCTGTAACATTAATGAATCTGTGATTAATGAGGTTTGATTTATCTTATGTGCACTCCAAGTGGGCTAATCCTAGCTTGAAATCTGAACTATGTCTAGAGAAGAAAATCCCTTCTTTACACCAACAGTAAGCAGATACTGAGCGTCCAACTCACTTCTGGTGTGGTGCTATAGGGTCAGCACTGGACTGCGAACCACAAAGTTAGCAGTTCAACCCACCAGCTACTCCTTGGAAACCCTACAAAGGGTCACTATCAGTTGTAACCAACTAGGCAGCACTTAGTAACAATTTAAATCAAAGCATTGCTACAAAACTTTTCCTACTTTGTTGTTAAGTGCCTTCAAGTCTGTTAAGACCGGTTGCAACCAAGGAATGGCCGGTGAATTTCAACCACCAATCTGGAAGTCAAGTGCTTATCTTATAGCACCACACCAGGACTCCTTTCCTACTTTGTTGATATTTTTGTTAAGGGCTGTCAAGTCAATTATAAATCTCCAATGATTGGCTATGAGTCAAGTTATTCCTGAATTTAAAGACTTTTGTCTTCATAGCCATAATCAAGTGGGTAAGATAAGCACTCAATTGCAATGTTGGTTTGAACCTCAAGGATGGTAGTTCAAATCAACCAGCCACTCCTCTGAAATCCTATACAGGGTCACTATGAGTTGGAACACACTCGACAGCACCAAACAATAGCACTTTGGTGGAGTTGGTTCCGACTCATAGTGCCCCTGTACAGGGGTACAGGGGTACAGGGTTTCCGAGGCTGTAAATCTTTACAGGAGCAGAAAACCTCATCTTTCTCCTGCGGAAGAGATGGTAGTTTTGAACTGCGGACCCTGAGGTTAGTAGCCCAATTCATAACGACTACCCTACCAGAGTGCCTTATATATAGTGGTAGGGATGGTTCTGTGCTGTGGAGTTGGTTCTGACTCACAGTGACTGTATATATATATATATATATACATACACTCATCTTGCAGTATCCAACAGAGCATTGGGTGTTGAGTAGGATACTTCTGGGTGTAGTCATATGATCTGTATTGAAGTACATACTGCCTCTTCAATTTATTATTTATATGACCTGGGCAATAACTCCTCAAGGTTATCTAAGCCTCAGCTACATTTGTAAAACGTACATTCTATTTTAAAGGGTTATGAGGATCAAATAAGTGAATGTAGAAGTGTTCAAATTATAAGTTGTTATACAAGTATAATTGTGGTTATCATATGAAGAGGTATCAGAACCACCTTACAGTAAAATTAGCTAAGAGAATAAGCTTCTTGTATTTCATGGTTCTTATTCATTTTAGGGTTGACCCAAACATATTTGTTCTAATTCCAGTTGCTTTAAATGTTTTAACTGTTAAGCTATTTCTCAAGCTAAATATTTATACAGTTCCCTTTATCTTGCAGATTCTACTACTAATTCTGCTCTCTTACACATTACTATGACTTAAGCAACAAGAATTCCAAAGGAGCCCTGGTAAGTCAAGGTCAGCAGTTCGAATCTGTAAGTCCCTCTGCAAGATGAGGCTTTCTGCTCCTGTAAAGATAGAAACCCTAACCAGGGTCGCTATGAGTGGGCACACAGTGACCACCACCAAGAATTCCAAACATCTTACCTTCTCTATAAGTTACAGCTCAATGGCTTCCTATTTACTACCTGTGACAGCTGCTGTAGCAGAAAGTGGAGTGCACTAAGCCCAGAGGTTCAATACCAACACTAGTGAGCTATCAGTGTGACTTTTATAGGAACTAAGCTCGAGCTTAAATCCTGATTTCAGAATGCTCTGAAAACTGGGCTTAGATAAATTATCAGCCTCTCTCTTTTCACTTTTCATCTATAAAATTATGGGGTTGGGAATACCAGTTTAAACAGATATACTAGGAATGTTGTGGACTTCTGGTGTGGTGCTATAAGATCAGCACTGGACTGTGAACCACAAGGTAGTCAGTTCAAACCCACAGGCTGCTTCT